GTTAATAGTCAGGGAAAATGGATCCCGAAAGGAAAATTTTGTCCATCTTGATTTTAGATCAGGCTGGATTAATTGCAACCCTGGATTCTCATGCATAAAAATCCAAACTCAGCTTCTCTTCACAAACTTTTATCTTGATCTTGTCCAGATCCAGAACTGTATAAATTCATGTATAATTAATAAGGAGGGAAAGCACTATCCTCGCAGGTCATTTCAAGCTATTCACTTAAGTATTAAATCAATTATATTATCATATTTGTTGCTGCAGGGTTTTCAACCATAACTGATGAGTCAAGCAAAAAGGAATTATTTTTGCCTTCACCACAAGATAACCAAACGGAAAGAAGATTTTAAGACTATGTTAATTAAGCAAACTTGTGGGATCAAGTGTTCAAATTTACTTGATAATCAACTAGTACCTATTTTCTTAGTATTTGGTAATATGATAAATAAATCAGTAGGTTCACAAGTCCTAATGGAATCAAAACCACCTTCAGACTACAATGTAACAAGGAGAAGCAGGCTCTTGGAGACATTGCTGTTTAGCAGAAATGTTATGATGAAGAACAGATGTAATTTTGCCATAATTATATAAATTAATTCAACCTTATTGAAATTCTTATATTATGAATGTAAAAAGAAAGTTGTTATTCTGTGACTACGTAAATAAATGTCTTGGAAAGACTCTAAAGAAAGTTGCGAAGGAAGATCATAAATATGTTCAAATATCAAAAAAAATTCCAAAGCATATTATTGAATGGGGTCACCATGCCAGTGCCAACTGCTCCTGAGTTTGGTCTCTTTTATTACCACAAGCTGGGACACATTAGTGTAATCCTGGATTGAGACTGCCTTGGATGGATCAGGTGGTAATGAACTTGGAATTGCCGATTCCCACACCCTCTTCATCTGGTTGGTTCCAAAGTTGGTGGCCTCATCTTAGAATTGAGACTCTGCAGGTGAGTTTAGCATATGATTCTGATTTTGACTCCATGTAAATAACAAAGGGAATCTCCCCTTGCCTTGATTGTTATAGGCCCAGAGGACTAGTTTGAAGAGGTGTTGCTTCCTTGGCCAGAGAGGCACCTGTTGGAGCAGTAGCTGCTTTTTCCTCACCCAAATAGGCCAAGGGGAAGATGGCACTCCCAATGTCCTTCCTAGATCAACAGGTTTCTCAAAACCACCAAGATGATAAAGAATCTTCAGAACATTCTACTAGGGGATTAATTTATCAGGGTTACATGCAAAGAGGGAACACATTGGCAGTGCTGAGCTATCACTTCAGGGACAAGCATATTCTGGGAGTTTAGTTTTATGTACATCAAAAGGTTCTTGAAGAGACAGAAAAAAGGAGCTCAGTCATCTTGACCTAGCATTTCAATGAATAATGAGCCACTTAAAGCATTATTTTATTTTAAAGTAAGTAAAGATGATTATGGCACAGAATGCAAATTTCATGTAAATGTTTAAGATGAAGCACAAGACTTCAAAGACAATGTCTCTGCACTGTTTGCCCAGAGCTGCTTCCAGACCTTTTTCTTTGCCTCTTCTGTCTGTGCTTTAGTGGAAAAGCAGCAGTAGCAATGGGTTTTCCCTCTTTTGTAACTGGCCCAATATATAAACATATAAATGTGTGTAACTGTGTATGCATGTATGTGATTAGTAAATCTAGAGCAATTTATTTAAATAATTAACAGTACCTAAAGCTAGATGTTACATTAATACAAAGCTCTATCCTCTTCCTCCCCAGGATCTTCAGGTTATGTAACCCCAGCCTGGATACTCTATATGTGTCATGTGTCCTTCACCAAAGGCCCGATGTCCATCAGCTTCTCATTGGTGACAGTAATTTGACGACCCACTCAAGATTTTGCTGGATTCTCTCTCACTGTTTTCTTCCCCTCCCAACTAGTCAAAAATCTCTAGGGAAGCACTTTGAGACCATGAAAATATCCCACCCATCATCAAACTTTCCCCTGGGCTTAGCATCCATGGATGATGATTGCTGCCCTAACCATTCTTTACTAAAACAGCTGTTCACTGGTGATTTTCAATCTAATGACTCCTTCCCTCCACACCCACCAGGCAGCGTTCCATTGCACTGGACACTCCACTCCTTCCCACACACTTCCATCACCTATGTAGCTTATCTGTCTGAAATTTGTTTATTTATCTAGAACACATGGATTTCTGTTTTATTCAAGTTATAGTCCATTACTCTACTTTTTTTTAATTTTTAGGTTCAAGTTGTCCCAGAGCTGACCACTGAGAGCCCATTCATGCTGATTCTTAGGCTTTTTGACATGATTTTAGTGTCTGGCACAAAATATTCCAGGCTTTTTTCCTGTTTTATTTTTAACAGTAAGACTCCATTACATCCATGTACCAGAGTTTATGCAATTGATCTCTTATGGTTGGGGATTTAGGTAACTTTCAATATTCTGAAAGTGAAAGTTGGTCAGTTGTGTCCAACTCTTTACAACCCCATGAACTATATAATATATAAAGCCCACAGGCTCTTCTGTCCATGGAATTCTCTAGGCAAGAATACTGAAGTGGGCAGCCAATCCCTTCTCCAGGTTCAATGTTTTGAAATTACAAGAAATTCTGCAGTGAACAAACTTGTGCATATGTATTTTTGGATTGCTGGAGGTTTATCTTCAGGGTTAATTCCTAGAAGTAGGATTTCTGGGTCAAGAGGTGAAAGTACATCTTCCTTCCTAGAAACGCCCCATTCTGTCATCCCACAAGCAACATACGAGTGTCTCTTTCCCACAGCTGCACCAACAAAGCTTTTCATTTTTGAAAAGCTCTTATAGGTAAAAGACATGGTGTCTCACCATACTTTTATTTGCCTTTTTATTACTATGTATAAAGTTGTACATATTTCATATTTTTAAAAACCATTTTTATTATTTTTGTGTGAATTATCTGCTCATGTCTTTTGTTCATTTTTTTTCTATAGGAATTTTGGGGTTTTACCTTTAATTTTTGAAAGTTCTTTACATATTAGAATTACTCTTTATATGTGCTATATGTTGCATATATTTTCTCCTATTTTACCATTTGCTTTTTGACTTTGCTTCTAGTGATTTTTTTACTTAACAAAAGTTGGGTTTTGTTTATATTAGTAGTCAAACCTATTTTTCTTTCTGTTGCATCTGGATCTTGGAGTCATTGTTAAAAGCCTTTCTCTGGACTCATAGAATAATTCACTATATTTTTGTTCTACTGCTTGTATGGTTTCATTTTCAACAGTTTAGGCCTCTGATCCCCTTGAATTTCTTTCTTGGGCATGATGTGAAGAAAATAACTAATTCTATCTTTTTCTCAATAGCTATCTAGTTTCCCCAAAAGCAGTTATTCTAAGCCCATCCTAGCCCCACTGGTTAGAGATACCGCCTTTATGACATACAAAATTTCCATATGTAGGTAGGTTTCTTTTTGGAAATGGGAACCCAGTCCAGTATTCTTGCCTGGAAAATCCCATGGACGGAGGAGCCTGGTAGGCTACAGTCCATAGAGTCGCAAAGAGTCAGACATGACTAAGCAACTTCACTTTGTTCTGGAAGTTCGACTGATCTTTCTGTGTATCCAAGTGATGGTCCCATAGAGACTCTGTTCTATATTTTTTAGATAGGATGAAACAAGACGACAGACCCAACTGGATGTTCAGAGTTTGTACAGAGAACCACTGAGTGTCTGGGTCACTCTGATCCTGGCTGGCCACCCTCCTCCTCTCCTCTTCCCTGGCCTCACTCAGCCACACGTACAAGGAAGAGATGAAACCATCACCATTGTTGTTCTGCTATTACTGTTAGTATGATGCTGACACAAACGGGGTGGCTTAGTTATTTCACTTCCATGATTCTAAACCAAACTGGGGTCAGACTCTGAACATGATAAAATTTCACAGTCTCCCTGGTCACCAGAACTATTAAATTTTTCAGCTTAAGACCCATCTCTGCTCAGGGTGATTTCTCCTGGGAAAGGGCTACCCTTTCCTGACCAGTTCGTATTTCCAAGGTCCCACTGTATGATTTTAAGGCTTTGGGGGGGGGGGTGCAGACTGCTGTGCTGTCCCCGAAGATGGGTTCTCACATGCTGCTCCTGCCCTGCATTTGCCTGCAGCTGCCAGAAAAGCAGCAGGAATGAGAGAATTCATGGAGAGAAAACCCAGCCCACAGCAGCCATTGAGATCACTCTTGAGGATGGCTGTGTCTGGGTTACAGTGATTAATTGATGTTAATCCTGACACAAATGATGGGAGAGGGGCCCTCTGAGAACATTTACAATCAATAAATGAAAAATGCCACTCCACCAGACTCATTATCACTATGAAAAATCATGCAGCAATTACACAAGAAACCCAGTCATTGAGCCATTACTTGATGATTGGCAATGCTACTTCTTTTAAACTAATTCAACATTAGAATCTTTTTTGCTTGGAAGTTAGATTTAGAATGAGCCCATGGCCACAGCTGCAATAATAATCGCTATCTATATAGTCACCAAGGAAGCATCTTCTCACTTGTCCATGGGAAGAAAAGGCAGCTGTGGTCTCTACGGTGGCTCCAATTCACTGTCAGAACTGAGATTTGGTTCCACATTCCCAAGTTGAGACCCAAGATTCATTCCTAGGACTGAGCTTCTCCGATGATGGTGAGGACTAAATTTAACATGTCTGTTATCATGGCCACAATGAGAGAATTTGTACAGTTGTGAGACAGGAAATAAAGTAGAGAAGACAGAAGCCAAAAGTGAGTTTTCTGTGCTGACCAGACACCTTCCAGAAGAGCCTACTGCATTCTCAGATATTAAGATTTGTTACCAACCTCGCTTACCAAGAGACCAATGCAAACTGTACAAAAAGAAAGATATCATTGAACCTGTTATTGAGGAGAAACAATACAACTGCCAACTTTCAGAATAAACCCAAGGAAACTCTCCTATGCCAGGAGGCACCCTCAGGTTGTCCCCTGGGGCCGCCAGGTACTCACAGTGCTGTCAATGTACGCTTCGGTCCACACCACGTCGTGTTCCTGGTCGATGACTTTGGGCCGGCTGAGTACGTGGAGGTATTCCATGACATTTTCCTGCACGTCAGCCAAGGTGGAGATCTGGGTGAAAAATCCTGCCAATGGAAAAGCACCTTTAGTAAAGACAGGCAGATCTACAACTGAGGAGCATGCCCACACCTTGTCTCCGTAGCAGTGTTATGTCTCCTCTCTACCCACTTCAAGCACTGTGTTCATGTAAGAGAACAGTCAAACAGAATAAAATAAAGATCAACCACATCCTCATCTCCCAGAGTGAAAGTCACTCGGTCATGCCCGACTCTTTGCAATCCCATGGACTGTATAGTCCATGGGATTCTCCAGGCCAGAATACTGGAGTGGGCAGCCATTCCCTTCTCCAGGGGAATCTTCCTGACCCAGGAATCAAACCACGGTCTCCTGCACTGCAGTCAGATTCTTTACCAGCCCAGCTACCAGGGAAGCCTCTATCCCTCAGAAGAATCCCCCATTAATCCACTGAAGAATTTCTTTCTGATGCTTTCTTTCTGTTGTTTAGTCGCTCAGTCTATACATATATGTATACACCTTCTCTGGTAGAAACAGGAGTGAGTCCTCTTTACATGCTATTTTGTAAACCCCTTCCTAATTTCATTTTAGTGTATTTATTTCCAAATAAATTACTTACAAATTCAGGAAAAACTACAAAGCACATCACTTAAAGGCTGTTCCAGTTATAGTTACATATTGTTATAAATAGTTATAAATAATAATATCATTATAAATTTTTTTTTATTGGAGTATAGTTGGTTTAAAATGTTGTGTTACACCAGTCAGAATGGCAGCTATCCAAAAGTCTACAAGCAATAAATGCTGGAGAGGATGTGGAAAAAAAGGAACCCTCTTACACTGTTGGTGGGAATGCAAACTAGTACAGCCACTATGGAGAACAGTGTGGNAATGGAAAAAATAAAGAAAGATTTTGAATAACTGAAAAAAAATAAAATTAAGTATTAAGTTCCAAAATAAAATAAAATAAAATGTTGTGTTAGTTTCAGGTGTATAGCAAAGTGAATCAGTTATACATACACATATTTCCACTCTTTTGTAGATTCTTTTTCCATATAGATCATAAGAGAGTACAGAGTAGAGTTCCCTGTGCTATATAGTAGGTCCCGTTTAGCTATCTATTTCATATATAGAAGTATACATATGTCAATCCCAATCTCCCAATTTATCCCTCTCCCCTATTTGCTAAGGCGCACAAAACTTGCTAAATACTTGATAAGTTTAGCCTTATTTACTCTTGACAACATGATGAAGTGAGGATGACTGAAGATAAGATGACTGAGGCAGACCAAGCATAGGTATTTCACCCATGTTCTCACAGGTATCAAGTGCAAATACTGAAGGTGAATCAAGCTTAAGTCTCTTAACCTACACCTTCTGCTTTTCCTGAATTGCTCCCTTTGTGTGTTTGAGGTTGAAACTCCAGCTCAACCCTCATGTGGTACCAGACCCGCCTTCTGAATATGCTGGGTAGACATGATTTCTCAGTAACATAAAAAGTTCTAAACATGCTATCATCTTGAGGGTGAAGAGGCCATTGTGCTCAGCCACTGCTATGCTCCTGTTCAGCTAGGGATCCTGTTGGCTTTGCTATGGGTTAGGAAATGTTAGAAGAAAGGGCTGAACAGAGCACAGGTCTGGATCCCCAGGATGGGGCCCTTCATTCAAACATTTTATGGAAGGCTGTCTTGGTGCCTAGCACTGGCAGAGCAGAGGTTAACTAGATGAGCATGACTCCTGCTTCCTGGGGCCTGTGAGGTCTGTGGAAGCTGACAACTACAAAGTAGCAAAGTCAACATTATAGAGAAGCACACAGAAGAGAGAGTCAATCACTTGGTTATCCGGAGTATCCGGAGGAAGAGTCAGTGCAGCTGAACCCTGAAGGATGAGGAGCAGTTAGCTAGAGAGAAGAGGGGTTAAAGACTGTGTCCGGCAAAGCAAGGAATGTAAGTAAAGGCTCAAAGTCAGAGTTAGATCCATTCCAGGAAGTGCAAATAGTTAAGAATGGCTGGAGTAAAAAGCTGGGGGAGAGTGATAAGAGGTAAGGTGGTATGAGATCAGAAGAATGGGCAGAGGGATGGTCACATAAGATCTTGGGAAGGAGTTGAGACTTTATCCAACAGACAAGTGGTCACAGAGGCCTTTTAAGCAGGGGGACACTGGATGGACACGGATTCATGCTTCCTCCCCATGCCGCTAAATAAGGATCCTTATAGTTAAGTTTATGCCAGCTTCTACTTGCCAACAAACAAGAGAGGATATGTGTGCCTCTGAAGCCAGATCTGTCACAGCACTGGCTGTACTGTTTACAGAACCTCTTAGTGTTTAATACAGGGCTCAGGGTAAGGAAATGCCAGCCCTTTTGTTATCCAGAAAGGACCAGGACCCTCCCAGGGCATTTCCAAACAAAAGCCAGCTGGTTTAAATTTGGTGTACCAACCCCAAACCAGGTTGGGACCATGTGGCTTCTGGCTTCCTGGTGACAGCTTTGCACAGTGCTAATTAACATGCATCGTCACTCCTGTCCACTCCACCCTCCTGGCCAAGGCCAGAGACTCGCCCATCCCAGTGGAAACAGCCCAAGGGGCCGATGAGACCATACGTTAGCTCAGGATTCTGAAGCGGGGCCCATGTGCACCATGGCACTCCCTCAGAGTTCAGGCACCACCTACAGGGAGGTCCATCCAGATCGCTCTTCATGCAAGGCTTCCAGGTGGCTCCTCTTGGAGGCACAGTGGGAAAAACATGCTTTAAAGAAGATTGCTGGATGACAGCAAGCATCCACAGTTATCATCCCTCCATAAACCATGACTGTAAACAATGTCTGAATAGGAAAGAAAGCATTTCATCTCTTCTCTATAGATAAACCTTTGGCTCTGCATGAAGGGTCTTACAGAGACAAACACCACAGAGGACAAACCAAGAGATATGTTGCCATGTTGAAAGGAAGAGGAGAGAACTCCAAGGTTCTGGATCAAGGGGATACCCGCATGAGCAATTCACAGTACAGTACTATTCCTATTTTGGGTTCCTGTACTAAATGTGCAGTAAAGACAGCCTCTCTTGGGAGGAGTTTTTCTCGGTTGTCTGTGTTTTCATTCTGATCCTCAAAGCCAACAGTAAAAATCCCTGATTTGGGCTTTCCAAAATAGGGCCAAGAGAAGAGAGGGAATAAATAGAAAGAGGGGGATGGGAGAGACAGATTCTCAGTACAGAGGGGGAGTGAGAAGGAAAAACAGTCACACATTTGGAAAGGGATAGAGCTGAGGGATCATCCTCACTTGGCCTTGCTTATCATAATCAAAGTTCTGAAAAGTTACAAAAAGCTGGCTTCTCCCCAGAGCAACAGACTCATAGCCAGTTGTATACCTGACACCTCCACAGGGATGACTAGCAGGATTCTCAGACTGAACTCGTCCAAAGCCAACTCCTGATTTCCCTGGCCAAACCCATTCCTCCCCCATGGGGTCTTTCCCATCTCAGCCGATGACGCCACTGTCCAACTGGGCCAAAAACTTAAGAATTATCCTTGACAGCCATCATTTCCTCAACCCACCCCATCACTAATCCACCAGCATGTTCTTCTGGCCCTATCTCTAAAATATGCCTCAAGTCTAATTCCCCATCTCCACTGCTCTGGCCCTACTCCAGACTCCACTGTCTCTGCCCCAGGGCACGCAATAGGCCCTGGCCCCACAAATCCCCTTCCTTGTTATCTAGACGCCTGACAGCAGCCACAGGAGCCTCATGAAGGATAAAGCAGATCATCTCCACGCCTAAAATTTTGAAACAGCTTCTACTTAGAGTTAGCATAAAATCCAGATTTCTTCCCTGACCTCCAAGACTCTCCCTCACCAGGCCCCCGCCTACCTGGATGACCTCATCCCCGTCTGCTCTCCCACACCAAGCCCATCCACTTGACCCAGGCACTTGCTCTTGCTGTACCCTCTGCCTGGCACGCCATTTATCCAGTTTTCTAAGGACGGCTCCTTTGACCATTCAGGGGTCAACTGTCTGAACTCATTTCCTCTCATTTCATCTGGCCATTACTTTCCATATAGAATTCTGATCTATTTGTTTATTTTGTCCTCTATCACTGGAATATTGGCTCCACAAAATGTTACAAACAGCTGGTGCCCATGTTATCCAGAGCAGTATTCCCAGAACCAGCAGACAGGTCTATGAGCGCCATCACTGAAGCGAGGACATTCACCAAGGTCATACTGTGATTCACTTGCCTCTACACTTGGGTAACACAACAGCTCAACAGGGGTGTGTGCTCATTGCATAAGGAGGAAACGGAAACAAAAGAATTCAGTTATTTGTCCTGGATCAATCTGAATCCAGATTCAGTTGACTCCGAAATCTTTGCTCTTAACAACTGAAGACAACGCCTCTTGCTATAAAGGGAAGGGACATCACAGCTGCTCAGAGGCCCTCCCCGGGAAAGATACCCCTCATGGGCTGCTTGTATCTCTGTGGCTGGACAGGTTGAGGATGGGGTAGGGAAGTATATGATTGCCCTATGAGGTTCCTGGCAAATGCACAGAAGTTAGCACCAGCAGTCTACCCAAAACAATACCAAAGTTCTAACTTACATTTCAGTATCCAGATCAGGGACGCAGATGTAGAAAAAGTAAGAAAAGCTGGAACTATACAAATAATATGAATAATGTATACTGCAAAGCTTAACGCAAATCTAATCACCTAACCCCAACCCATTAAACTGCAAAACTTTTGTGAAAGAGTCTCTTTTGTTTTCAAATGTTTTTCATAGAAGTTTTAGTTAACAAATGTACGTTTTGATGAATAACAGGAAGTTGCTAAGGACTGGACTCCGGCTGTAACCAGAGATGCTTCCCTCATTCTCCTTCTGCATTCAACTGGCCACTTTTCCTCCCCTTCCTCCACCTCTTTTTATTTCTTTTAAATCCTAGCTCTTGAATGTTTATTCTCTTCTTTAGTGCCTTTTTGGACTTCATATATCATGTAAGAAAACAGAATCAGCAATCATTTGGTAATTACCAAGGAGTAATTAATGCTAAAATTA